GTTAAAATATTAATTTCATTTTAAAAGGTTTGCTCAGCTGAAATCTCAACCATTTAAAGGTGTTGTAATTTTTTTTTTTTTGGGACAATACTTGCTTCCAATCCAATCCTATAAGTAGAAAATTCCTTCAGCTTAGTATGTGACTTAATAAATAATAAAGTTTTGACACATAGACCCTAGTCATGTAATATTAAAAAAGAAACCTAATTGAAACAAATCCTTTTTTAACAAGGAATAATTCACGCCAAAAATTAATATTTTTTCTCACGATTTTTGGCACCTAGAAGTTCTGGTTCACTCTCTTTTTTTAGTCACATCACTCCAAAGGAATTTCTTATTTATAGGGTAGGAGGCAAGTATTATATAGGTGCTACTAAACATATTTAAAAACAAAATTTTAAAATAAAATTACTTAGGGCCTGTTTGGTATGAGTGTTTTTTTTTTTTTTTTTTTTTTTTTTTTTTTTTTTTTTTTTTGAGTACTGTAGCCGTGAATAGTGGAAAAACGTGTTGTGTAAAAACTATTTTGTTTTGCACGAAACATTTCCTAAATAATGACTAAAAATTGAAACACTAAAGTGTTTTTATATGTTTATGCATGGTATCATTTGGTATTATAGTAATGAACAAAAATTTAAATATATATATATATATATTACATGATATTACCATTATATTTTCAAATTTGCAACACTTTTTTACCAAATATATTTTTATTTTTTACTTTAAAAGCTTTTACAACAAATGAACGTGGTACCAAACACGTTTATTTTATCCTAAAGAGTGCTGAGGATATCAATTGATTTAATTGTCATTTTACATCAGTACATGTGAAATTTGTGACAATTACTTTTTACTTTTATTTTATCCTTTGTTTTATTAATTGACTTCTGAGTATGAAAACACAATGGAATGTAAATCTCTCACTAATCATTCATGACCACAATAGAAGTCGGTAGTGTAAAGACAAACCATGGTTACCTAGTTTGTAGAGGCCGACATTATTGATTTACTAAGGCAACTCAATAAAAATCAACTTGTGATGGCATCAAGTACTTCCAATTCATATTAGTGGATAAGACCATCATTAGCAAAACCAATAAAAGTCTAATTGCAGACAAAGTAAAATAAACTTATTTAAAATACTAATAGCAAATTTTTACAAACACAAAATCACACCAAACACTTAAAGCAAAAAATTGAAGAAAATCTTTTGTTATTACTTATGCTTTGTTTGGTTAGAAAGAAGAAAGATGATGGGCAGTGAAAAGATAGGAAAAAATTAATAAATTTTCTTCATTGGTTAGAGATGAGACAAGATAGAAAGAATAATAGAATCAATGAATCACCTAATCATTTACAAATTTTCATTCCTCAAAAAATAGGGAAAAAATATATAAGAAAGAAAGTGGAGCTATTATAAAAATTTTAAATTACAATATTATTCTTCACAAATTACAATACTAGATAATGATGGGTATAATGGTAAATATAATTTAAAACTTCCTCTTCCCTACTCTTCTAACGAACACAATAAGTTCTCAACTTCTTCTCTATTCTTCTATTCAACAAAACAAAAAGAGAAAAAATACATAATATCTTATTTAGGAATGCCTTATCCGTCCATTCTTCTCTCGCTTCAAAATTTTCCCTCCTACCGAGCTAAGCATTAGCTATGCCTATGTGAATTCAAGAAATTGTCTAATCTCACCGTTTGATGTATTGTCTGCATATCCCTCTTCCTCCTTTTCTCTTAGCATTTATACAAGAAAAAATGTCTGATTTTTTGGGAAAAAATCATCTCCCGTTACTCTCTTACTGGACGACATCCGGTGAGCATACAACGGTGGTGATTAACACCACCTCCCTGACATAGTCTTGTCATCACCAAGTTAGCAAGCCAAGAAAGAAATTTACTTTTATTTTACCATATGTACGAATACCACTCTATACGTTATACTTTATATAATATATTATACATAGTATATTATTATACAATTTAACTTTACCTTTTGATTGAAATTAAAATAAAATTAAAACGCAAACCTCACTTTAAAACAATGCAACAAAAATTAAAATATGTATACAGAACATGTTATTCAAACAAAATTACAAGGAAGAACAAATCATATAATTATGGGTTATTAGGGTTAGTATTCCAGTGCGGCAGTGCCTCAAAAATAGATCCAAATCACTCAATTTTCAAAACTTTTTCAAATAAAAAATTTCGAACCGTAGTTGCATAGGATTCGGTTGAATTGAACAACTTTAATTCTTGCACTACAAACTAAATCTTACTCCCCTAACATTAAATTCTAAAGAGAATGATTGAACCCAAAAAAAAAAAATGGTGGCTAAGGTTCTATTTTATTTTTATTTTTTTTCTTTTCGCTATTACGATTTCGTGTTCTTCCCCTTTTTTATTCCTTTTTTTTTTTTTTTTCCTTTTCCACCTCTCACATATATGTGTCAAGGAAATCACATTACAAACATATATATATATGCATCGTTTTTTGTAGTTCTTCTTTTGTTATGGATCGTTTTCTAGGTTATTATTTCTTTTTTAGGGTTTTCGGTTTTTTTTTTCAAATTTTAACCAACTAGAACCCATGAAGTGAAAGTTAATTCATTAAATAATAGATAAGTTATATACGAAAGTTTTATGTATATATTAAAAGTTTGGTAAATATGAATTTAACTCAACCGCTAAGTCAACTTTTTTTACACCTCACTAGACCAATCCAGTAAGAGTAACTGGAGAGGAATTTTTTCCCCCTTTTTGGCCTATCAATCCCCAATTATAAGGGATTAGGGCTAATCCCCTATTTGGTGAATCAATTTAGTTTACTGTTGATTTTGGGGATTTTGATATATCATTTGGTCAAATTGATGGCTAGTCAACCTCTTTGGCTCGTTCGACTGTTTAGGTGCGTTGGCACGAGTGTTGACTAGGTGTCGTGTTATGGTTCATCCATGTTTGCACACTTTGTCACATTGTTATTTGTAAGAAAATTTTCCTCCACACACCTTTTGAAAAAGGGTAATTTACACGGACTTCTCCTGTGATTTGCCATAATTACACGAACCTCCCCAAAAAATGAAACTAACGTACACGGACCTTCCTTCCTTGTGATGGACCGTTAAATGCACTAACGGACCTGTCTAATTTATTTAAATGCCCTTGTATTGTTACAATAAAGTACTAAAGTACTATGTATTACAAATGTCCTCGGTGAAGATGGCGGTGAGAGGCTAAATGGAGGCGCATTCGACGTGTTGTTTGAAGTCATTGAAGGCGTTGATGATGTGGTCGAATTGGGCTTGGGTTCGGTTGACAGTGGTGTTAGACTTGCTACAGTAACAACCCAGAAAGCTAAGGAGGACATTGACAATTAGGTCGCCGTCTACGAGAGATACCAAGTTGTCACCGGAGACTTGAAGGACAATAAAGTAGTGGGAGGCATAATCTAAGATATAAGGGTCGCTGCTAAACGAGACGATCCTCACCTGAGAATTTTAGAGACCCAAATCGGAAAAGGTTTAGAATAATGGCCAACCGACCGGTGAATTTTAGTCCAGACCAATCATTAAAATGTTATTGAAGACCCCAATCCGGTGAGTTACAGTACATACCCAACCCCTAAATTGAAACTTGAGTTTCAATTTCTTGAATTTCAACATAATTGCTTGTAATTGGCTAATTTCATAAGAGACCGAGATGAGGTGGAGCAAAAGGCGTTGAAGAACGAAGGAACGGGAGTGGACAAACAGGGATTTACACACCGTAATTTGGTACGGGCTTCGCCAGAATCAATGGAGGAATAAGCCGTCTGTAATGCAACTCCAGTCAAAATGGGTCTTTGTTGGGTTAGTCTAAAGCTCTGTATCTTCACTGGTTCTGTAGATGTGAGTTTCTATGATTTTGTTGCTGCAACATTCTGGGTCTAACCTATTTTTCTTGAATGAAGCTTCTCTGGCTGTTCAGGTAGATGAATCATATTGCTTCTTTGGTCGGTTTGTCGCTAGCCAAAGCTTTCCGATAATGAATCACAGTGCTCCAAGGTTTATATATATATAAAATGGTAGGGACAAGGGTATTATGGGAATTTTAATAAATTTTGTATATGATGTCAGCACATTCCGTCCTTGATTGACGTTAACTTTAATAAAAGGGAGGTACGTGTAAAATATTTTTATTTTTAGGGAAGGTTTGAGTAAATTCCCAAACCACATAAAAGGTTCATGTAATTACGATAAACTATAGGGGAGGCCCGTATAAATTATCCTTCAAAAAATCAATTAAGTTGGACATTATGTTATGAAAAACTAAGACCTTTATTTGTCTTCAAAATTTCTTATTATTACTTTTATACACAAGAAATGTGATTCTTAATTTAAATTTCTCACTCTTTGAATATTTTTAAGAAAATGAATTAATATGTTTTTTTTTTTTTTTTTTTAGTTAAAGAAATGAATTAATATGTTGTTACCAAATGAAGGTTATAACTTGTAATTTCAGGCTTTTGAACTCATTGAAAAACGAGCTAGAATTCCTCTTCTTTTTCTTTTTATTTATCTTCGTGTATTGAAGCAATTTTTTATAATCAATTTGTGACAAACTTGCATGAAACCGACCATGGTAGGTGAATTACTATAAAATATCTATAAATTAAAACATTTAAGAGAATCAATTTTATTTATTTATTTATTTTGTACTTAAGAAAATCCAATTTAAAAACTCCATTTGACACACTTTTTAAATCTTAATGTTACGATCAAGAATGTTTAAGAAGATTTTTTTTACAAAGTATCATTCTTATCCCGATATTAAATTAAAAAGAAATAGTAAGAAGGATATTTTTTTAACTTGCTTGATTAAGAAAAATAATTAATGGATTTTTAAAAATTATCTCCTTTCCTCTCATATCTCAAAAGTCTCTGATTGATTATTATAACAGAGTATATAACTACCACTAGTACAGTTACGCAAGGACAAATAAAAACAAAACCTAAAATAGTGATTGGAAACGACGAAAGAAGGAACCTAATTCCATCTCCGTTGAAAAAGTAAAAATCACATCCTTTCCCTTCATTTCAATGTCCCTTCTCTCATGAGGAGAGTCTTGACCCAAATTCAAATTCCGAAACAAGAAAAATAAAAGAACTCTCAGCCAACCACACACACTGATTCTCAGATTCAATTCTACAAACATTCGATTGATCCATCAAACGAAGGTCTTTGCAATCAATTTCGATCTGATTCGAGTTCAATGAGCAGTAGCGAAGGGAGTTCGGAGCGTGTGGCCGGAGGCGGACAGACGCCGGCGGTGGCGGCGGAGAAGAAGAAGGACAAGGCGAAGGTGAGTAGGACATCGCTGATACTGTGGCACGCTCACCAAAACGACGCCGCTGCGGTGCGGAAACTGTTGGAGGAGGATCCGTCTCTGGTCCACGCTAGGGATTATGACAATCGGACTCCGCTCCATGTTGCCTCGCTTCACGGCTGGATAGATGTCGCCAAGTGTTTGATTGACTATGGAGCTGATGTCAACGCCCAAGATCGCTGGAAGAATACGGTATTATATCATATATATTTATACATGTATAAAATTAATGTAATAATTGTTGTCTCAGGTTCACTTGTTAAGCGTCCTTTGTATTTCTTCTGTCATGTGTTGATTTTGAAATGGTTTTTGTTGTTAATTATGGATTGTTGGTTCTGTTTTGTTGCTTGGTATTCCTAAAGTTGTGGAATTGAACTTCATTGATTCTCTCTCTCTCTCTCTCTCTATATATATATATATATATAATATGTATATCATGCTAATTTTTGTAAGTCTATGTGTGCTTGGTGGAATTTAGTGCTTATAATTCTGATTACTAGGGTCCTGAAAGCTATAAATTGCATGGAGAGTGTATGGGTGAGTGAGAGAGAGAGAGGTTTCTTTCGAGTACGGGGCTTAATCCAGATTCTAAGTTTATTGCACTTTGTTAGGACTAAATTCATAGGAAGCATCTTAAAACTTCAAAGTTTTGCAACATAACATTACCACGATATTCATAAAATTATGGAATTATAAAAGTATAACTATTAATGAGACCAATTAACTGTGGTGATTAAACATAACTCAACATGGGTATTGCCATCTTTTAGGAGGAGGGGCCAGAGTAAACCCAACTCTTCTCAATTGATTTGGAAGTTTTATGCCTTTACCACTATGCATAGGGCCTCATTTACCCTAGATGAAAAATTGACAGAGATGCCTGTGCTAAGGTTATAATGGAAAAGTGGAATTTTGTAAAGCCGGAGGACCTAAAATGTAATTTTGGATTAATTTAATAGGTTACATGATATTTTTACTTTAGAGGCATGTTGTGATTTGTGATGTAAACAGTTTCTGAACTTGTATTGGATCTGATGTAGATCCATGCATGGTTATTTTGCATGGATGGATGAAAATCCAATTGCAATGCTTTTGTTTGTGACATTCACAGTGTCTGAAGGTTTGTAGTTGCAAAGCAATGCTTAACAACTTCCAGCATACTAGTAGACCTTGTGACATTCAGAGTATTATCTTAAACATAAATCATTTTTACCCCATGATTCTGCAAGTGGACAATTGGCTTTGTTTTTTTCTAATCCATAGTTGACTTTTGAAGGAAATGCCTTTTCTATGATTTGGTATCTGAAAGTATCTTTTTGTACCTTCTATTTAAAATTTTTTTTTTCTCCTGTTGAAGTTATTCCAACTTGTTGGTTATCTCTCCTCCTATGTGCCTTTATCGCCATTTTGCTGGTATTTAGGGGAAAAATATTGAAAACTCCATATATACACTAAAAGTGATGGAGTACTAATTAACTGCTCCACATTAGCATCCTTTCAAAATATTTGCATCAACTGTTTCTTTCTTTCGTGGACCTAATTGGCTAATTAGGTGACTCCATGAACTAGTAAATAAATGGTTGTCAAAGGCACAGATTGAGTCATGAATGTGTTGGGTTGGGTGGTAAAGAAATTACTCTACAGTGATACTACTACGGTACTACTACTACTCCTCTCCTCACGTGGAGTCGCAAAAGCCAAATACATTATTGCAGTCCTGACTCCTGACTTTAGAGTCATGATGCATTGTTGGCTCCTCTATATTGTAATTGTCGGTGGTTAGCAGCCCCTTCTTTTTGACTGCTGACTCCAGAAGCGTAAAGACCTTCACTTACCACATAAATAGTTGAGAGCCATAATTCCTTTCAAATTCAGTGTTATATGATTGGAATATACTGTATATAAAATGTTCATTAATTTGTCAAATTTTCTTTAGATATTTTCATAAAGAACTGGTTTTTTAATGCATAGTTTCACTATAAAAATAGTTAAAGCAAATCCTGTTAGAATATTGTACCAGCCATATTGATATATTGCTGTATTTGATAACATGATGAAAGTCTACATTATCAAGTATGCATGAAAAGGTATGTTTGAATTTTCACCGGTCAAGGAACAATTACAAGTTGGTTCGTCTTATACAGATTGACTCTCCTTCTTCAACAAGAAAGAGATGGGCACAAATAGTTGTTGTAGGATCCACTATTATCATGTGAGAGCCATTGCAAACCTATAATAAGTCCGTATAGTATTTTGCCAGTATTTAACTGAATAGCATTTTTAAGTTCTCGAGTGAGGCGAAGTTAAATCTGTAAATTTAATTCTCAATTTTATTTTATTTTATGAGTTAAGCATAGTCTTTTGCTTGCATAATCATTTTATGGTCTTTATCTAGTTTGTCCACTGGAATTGCTTTCAGCTAGTTTGTTCTCTGAACTTGCATATTACTCATGGCAGCCTCTAGCTGATTCAGAAGGAGCTAAAAAAGATAGCATGATTGAGTTGTTAAAGTCGCATGGTGGCCTGTCCTTTGTAAGTTCATTGCTTCCCACCCACTCTTTAATTATTATTATTAGGGTTGTGATATTGAAGGTCCAAAAAAGCCTCTGGCACTTCAAGAAGTGACGTGTCTGAGGCCTTTTTTGGAGTGCTAAAAATCTTTTCCCTTATTATTATTGTCATTTTTCTTATTTATTTATTTATTTTCATAATTATTGTCATTGTTCTTCTTGTTCTTATTTTTTTCTTTCTTGAATTTTCATCATTTGGTATTATGCTTACAATGTCAATTGTTTGCAATTTGTCACCAGTATTTGGTTTACTTATTATATAAATTTTAGGAGTAGTCAATGTTCTTACGGTATAACTGTAGTGGTATTAGTATATTTGCCGACCATTGATCTGTTCTGATGGCCAAGTCATGGTTCTGTGGATTTCACTGTGATTTAAACTAGATGACATTTCCCATTTTTGTGCAATAAAAATACAAGAACTTAGAATAGATGTTCCAATCTAATGCTGACTAGTTGACCAAGGTCTTTTAAATTTGTGATGTTGTGGCCCAATTTTGGTGACGGGTCGCGTTGCGACCCGTTTACGATGCTATGGCCCGTTGGATCAGCCTTGATCCGTTTTGTTAATGGGTCATGGACCCTAATTAGTCTCTTGTAGCCCAATATATAAGGGCGCTTAGGGTTTGGAGTGGGGTAAGAGAGATTGAAATTCGTACAGAAACAGAATGAGGGGCTGAAAACTTGTAATTTCCGATTTTACACATAGTGAAGACTTTTGCCGGATCTCCACCGTGGACGTAGGCTGTTGCCGAACCATATATAAATCTTTGTGTTCTTTGTGTGGTATGTTTACTTTTCTGTCGTTTTATCTTGGGTTCGTTGAGTTTGTCATAACAAAATTTATTTAAGTGGTTGACGTCTTAACTTCCTCAGCCCTTTAGTTATCCATAAAGGGCTGTTGCCAGTCAATTACACAAACCAATTTGACAGACTGGCCTGCCACATGTTTTCTTCTCCTGGAGTAGTTGAGTGGTGACATATAAGGTGGAAGTAAGATTTTGTTTAAAGTTGTATTTGTACCTCTTAGTCTTCATTGTTGGATCTTTCTCAGGCTGATAACTCCTTTGGTGCTATTAATTGGTATCCTTCAGAAGTGGTTGACACAGTCCACATTATCATGTTTGGGTGGAGCTACAATTTTAAATGTGGAATTTTGTTCTTTTTATTTGTTTCTAGATGTGACAACAATTTATCAAATGTACACGACTCGAGGTGTTCTATGAACAGGATAACCACTAGAAATGCATTTTGCCAAAGGCCACAAAACAACCAAATCCTCAATCAGGGATGGAGCAAAGTATATATCAGTAGGGGCAGTCGCCCCACTGATTTTTTTAATAATTCTATTTTTACCTATAAATTCTTCAGTAATTATACAATTGCCCCCAAAATTTTATCTTCCCCCCCCCCCCTTTTTTTTTTTTTCACTCACACCTGTGCACACAAACAACCACCAAGAACTCCATCATCTCTAGTCTACATATTGATTATCCCTCCCTCCATTGTCCACAGCTCTCTCCGTTGAATAATTAAATAAATAAGTACTTTTTAATTCCAGTCCATCTCTTCATGGAAGGAGTGCAATCCCTAAGATGGTAAGAGAAGTCCTAATTAATTTATGGTTGAGACAAAGAAGACATTGTATATTTATTAGTTTATTTGCTTGTGACCTAGCCATTGTTCCTACTAGTTAAGACTGTCACGTAGTGATTGAGAAATACAAATTTAGCAGCGGTGATTTTTTTCCCCTGAAAATGACACACCTACAAATTTTACTTATGGAAACTTGAACTCAGAACCTTTCACTTAGAGAAGTAGAGGAAATACCACTTGGTTACAACCCTTGGTGGTGGTATTTTTAGCAGTGTTGCAACGTTTTTAAAACATTAAACTAGTTGAGGACAATCGTGAATGTATTGAACGAAAATATTATCAATATATAATTAAGTAAAAAAAAAATTTCCTCATTATTGTTTGAAGTTTCCCCCACTGAAACAAATTTCTGTCTCCGTCGCTGTCTTCAATATAGTTGAATTTCAAAATCTCTGAACAGGCTGATTGGACAAGATAGGAATCATTGGAGTGGAGGCTTCTGCATGTGACATTTCAATAATTTGGAACAATTTGGATAAGTTTAGTTGGATTATGTTAGTTTGAATTGTTACTAGGGGTGGCAAATTATGACACGACACGACAACTCGACACGAGTTAAAAGGGTTTGGCATAAACGGGTTTGGGTCATAAAAGGATCGACACGATTAACCCGTTTATTTAACTGTGTCGGGCTAGGGTTGAGATGTTCAACTCTTGTAACCTGTTTATGACCCATTTAACTCAACATGTTATAATCGTGAATATAACTTATGTAATATGTTGCCTGTTTAAACCCAATTACTATGGATTGTTAAGTCATTATAACATAAACATTGTCTATGCTTTATGATTTTTCTTTTTATTTTGAATATTTGGGTTAATTAAGACAATTTTTTTTTCTATTATTTAGTATTTGATTAAATATTAAATGACTCGTTTTAATAAACAGGTCATTAAACGGGTTAACACGATTACCTGTTTAATAAACGGGTTGGGTTAGTGTTGAGATTCTTGACACGATTATTAAATGGGTTGGGTTTGGGTTTACCTATTTAGTATAATATCCTTATATTGACACAACACGAACACGACCCACGAACACGAATTGCCACCCCTAATTGTTACCACCAATAGGTACTTGCGACCTCTGTTTGGATAACTTGTGACCTCTGTTTGTAAGGTCCAGTTTTCACAAGAGGAAATTCTTCTGCTGGGAAGGGCAGTTATTGTGATTGCAGCCACTTAAAAAAACTCAGAAATTCAGAATCCCAAGCAGTTGTATGGTGAATTATCGCTGGGGATGTAATATCCAGATAAACTATACACTAACTAAAAAAAAATTTGAAAACTCTACACACTAAAGTTTTTTCTTGTTCGTAAATTTGTATGCAGGTATTGGCATTAACTTATCCTATGGAAGTTGACCATGAGACTAAATTCATGCATAAATTAATCAAACTTCTAACATGGACCTCGTAGTTCTTATTATTATTATTATTATTATTTTTTGTCTTTTTGAAAATGGAAACGTACTCACATGCTAAAGCTTATTGGTTCTATGCTCCTTGCTGTCTGCATTGCTTATTGATGCTTATGCTTGATACACTAGTTTTACTCTATAAAGATGTTGAATATATTTTGAAATTTGTGGTTTATGTGCTTTTATGGGCTCTGACCCTAGGTGTCTTGCAGGGACAAAATGGAAGCCATTTTGAACAAAAGCCTGTTCCACCCCCTCAACCAAATAAGTGTGACTGGGAGATTGACCCTAAGGAGCTGGATTTTTCAAACTCTGGTGTTATTGGGAAGGTGAGGTTTTGTTTGCTAATGGCTGTTGATAAACTAAGAACCATGGGCATGAGTACAGGATATGGACATTTCTTTTTTGAAGTGACACAACATAGACAAGCTGACATGAAATATCTCTAAGAAGTTGGATTTGGACATGACAAAGACTCGGTGATAAAGAAAAGAATCGTATTATATAGAACAAAGATTACTTCATAACAACTAAATAGAATATTCTGTGACCAGATAAAATTTGTAAGTTCTAAATTTTATAATCTTAATCACCCTTGTCATGTAGAGAAAGTCGTAATAAAGACATGGCGTATATACATATGTGTGTTTGTGTATGTAAATAGATATGTTCAAGTATGATTATATATACAAATAATTTGATGACTCATCTGTCTTCTCCTACTTTCATTCCTACCCTTTTAGTAAAGTCTATCTACACCTTTTTTTATTTTATTTAATATGATCAATTTTTTATATATGTCGTATTAACATTCTATTTTGATTTTTCTTACAATTGTTATTTTTTTTAGTAATTCTTATTTCTATTTCTTACTAAAATAAAATCTGTCCAATGTATAAGATTCTTCAGTCACAAGTTGGTAAGTCTCAGAGATGTTGGTCATATCACGTGTTCGAATTTTTGTTAGAAAAGTAATATTTAAATTGCAGACGCATTCGGAAATCAGAATATCTCTGACACAATTCTGGAGGTGTCCAAGAAGTGTCAGTGCTGCAGCTCCTCCTAAGAAGTGTTCATGTTTCCTAGCCCAGTAGTTCTTGGAGTTTGACACATGATTAGGAAACTTGGACCTTCAATTAATCAAGCATCACAGACCTAACAAAGACCATATATAATCCAATAGCATAACCCCCATTACCACCCAACTGACCACTACACATTCCATGTTGAAGAAAGTTAAAAAAATTATTTTTAAAATAACCTTGACTCTAGAAACATACAAACACAAAATAAAATATATCAGTGGCATTCTAATTTTAGAATAAATATAACCCAAAACGTAATTCAACCCAAATATTGATTATAGAATGCCCAAGCTGCATTCCATTTGAAATTCTCATTTTTTCCCTTTTCTTGTTTGCATGCCTGCATCACATACGAAGATTTTTTTGGCTTGTGTATTTGTAAGGAGCATGGTATCCTTCTTGTCCTTCTAAACTTTGAGGTTTATTTAGTAATAATCATTTGCTATATGCTTATTGGTTCTCAATGCTCATAATACGGTAGTGTGGATGGTAAAGATAGCCACTGTGGACTTCAGTAAATGAGTGGTACTGTACAAATCCACCAGTCACATGGTTTCATTTTTCTGGTGTACATGCTATCATTTGTATTTACAGTTTTATGAAAATGGATTTCCATTTCCTCTTCTTACTGATTTCCTATACTTTAAAAAGGCCCCATGAGAAATTTGTGTAGATTACAGCAAATCTTTTGGGCTATTAGAAATTTGTAACGCTAAAATTATCTCCAAGTACTTTTATATTGCTTTTGGTCTTTTGACTTTTATGTCATCTCACAAATAATTAATGATTCAACTTTTAAATGCTTTCTATAAATTGGCACTCAACATTTGAGCTACTAGTGTAATTTCTTTCTTAAATCTGCAAGATCTACTGTTACTGATGATAAATGATGCTGATAGGGGTCTTTTGGTGAGATTTTAAAAGCAAGCTGGCGTGGAACACCTGTCGCTGTTAAACGCATTCTTCCAAATCTTTCTGACGATAGATTGGTGATGTAAAGTTCTTTATCATACTCTCATTTTCTTACTTTATTGATTTCACTTAATGTTTTTTCACAACTACATAAGCTACAGATCTTGGTTGAAGATTTATTCTATTCCTTTAACTTTTCAACTCTACCGGTGTCTGTTACATACCGATCCTCTTTGTCTTTCTCTCTTCTTTGTATTTTTTGTTTTTTGTTTTTTTGGGGTAAGCAAGCAATGTTATAGGATCAAACAAAATATACAGAATTTCTAAGGAGACATATCTTCCCAGTACATAACAAACAAAACAAAGGAAGTCTCAACAAAGCCTATCACAGCAACCATGGGACTAAAACTGATCCGTTGCTGCGATGGGCTTTGTTGAAGATTGCTTTCTGTTTTGTTTGTTATGTACTGGGGAGGTGTATGGGAGTAGAACCAAATTTGAAAGATAAGTGCTAACATTTTCAATTTTTCATTATCCAAAAAGGCGTTGGATCTTTTCTAATTTATACATCTAGAATTGTTGTAAAGTAGATTATTGGTGTTGATTGAGCTTGAGAGGGGATGTGACTATTTGATATGTAATAAGTTTAATGGGTCCCATTGAGAAGAAAATAATTAAACTGAGTGGTTTTTCTTATAACTATAACTTCTATTACTCCCCCTACACCCCAGTTCCCTTTACTCTTCAGAACAAAATTTTGTACTTAAGTTTTGCTGCTTTGTTTCAGTCAGGACTTCAGACACGAGGTGAATTTGCTAGTGAAGCTCCGCCATCCCAATATAGTCCAATTCCTTGGAGCTGCCACCGAAAGGAAGCCCCTAATGTTAATTACTGAGTATTTGCGTGGGGTAAGTGAATAAATCATTTTGTTTTTATGTTTCAAAAAAAGAATCTTTTCTTTTTTTCCCACTAAAATATTTAGCAAAGGCTAAATAGTAGGCTAATAGCATTTATTTTCGTGTTGTTCTAGGGTGATCTTCATCAATACCTCAAGGAAAAAGGTGCACTTAATCCATTAACAGCTGTCAACTTTGCATTAGATATTGCGAGGTACTTACTTCTAAAAAATCAAATTAAAAGATATTACAAGGTACTTCAAAATAGTAATAGTCTCTCTTAAGCTCCAAACAGAAAATCTCAGATCGTTTAGGTGCCTTGTTGTAGTCAGTTGATTGTTGCTCATACCAGGAAGAGTAATTTAGGCTAATCTGTGAGATAATAGGAACCTTTTATTTGTATTTTATTTTTTGGACATGGTTGTATGAGAATCATCTGAACAAGAGATGGGATATAGGGAAAAAAATGGCTTTTCTGTTTTGTTTTATTGATTGAACAAAGTGCTTTAAATCTTAAGTTGCATTTTTTTTTTTATAGTGGCACGCTGGTAGCATTGCTTAGAACCTAATTTATGACCCTAGGAATTAGCATCGGGGCACTTCAAGTCAATTTTATTCTTGAATCAGTTGAGTTAGTCTTGAATTGAGAATTGACTGATTTTTGCTCACTCGAACTGACTTGAGCATCAGCATGACTCATGTCACCATTTACCCTCTCCTAAAGTTTTATCAAACAATTATCTGGTTTGGAAGCTTTGGCTGAATACCAATGCTAATTTTCATTTAGATGTTCATTTGCTGCAAGATACAGAGCTGAGTCAGCACAAAAATGTTCAACATTATGCAAGTCATTTGTTTTGCATAGAATGTTTTACAATGTAATATATTTACTATGCACATTATTTCACATTAAAAAAATGATATCTTCATTTCTGGTGTTTGGCTGAAAATTCAAAAATAATTTACTAATATAGAGTAAGTATATGCTGTATAGGTGCTTACATAGTTATATAGAACACCTATAGGAGGTAGGAAAAAATGGCGCACATAGAGGTTGGGGTAACATGTTTACAGACACTTGCTGACGTACTTGTGATGTATGAAGGTGCATATACATGCATATAAGGGTGTGTATATTCTCACAGGTATAGGAAATTATACGTGTAAATAGTATTTAACATGCATGTTTAGCAAGCATCTAGCCTTATATGTAAAGATGTATATTGTGAAGAGAACATGCACATATATACATAGATATACATGTGCTTATATAGTTATATCTATACACATGTATGTATATAGGCACATAGATGCACGCTAGATACATGTATATTCATATATATATTATATAAACAGTGTATGCAAATTATGTTTATAACTTGAACTCATGTGCTCTCAGTGTCTATTTAGAAAATGACCTACAGAAAAGAAAATTCCTTTTTAGTATTTTTGCAGTTATCACAAACTGTGTTTCAGTTTCCCGAGAATCTATCTAGAACCATCAAAAGAGCAACCATACATGTGAAACACTGAAAATATTTCACGACTACACAAACGGAGTGATTGATTTTTTAAAAGGATAATTATGTTGTTCTTGGTAAATGCAAAAGTAGATGCAGGAAATGTCTCAGAATTCTCCAACTAATAGAATGATGATAATATCTAATTTTTATTACTGAAAGAAAACAGCTTTCTTTACATGGCTGTTTCCTGGAATATGAAGAGGATTTATTCCCCCATGAGTCTCATTGTATGCATCATTTCAATTTATTTGGCAAAATAAACATGAGAAAAATTGGAGTGTAGAACTTCTTCCTGAAACTTTCAGAAAATGCCAAATGTGACCTTACTGAATTTGAATTTCATGCTAACCTGAGTTCTGTAAATCTTATGTTGTCAGAGGCATGGCTTATCTTCACAATGAACCAAATGTCATAATTCACAGAGACTTAAAGCCAAGGTGAGTTGACTCATGGGTCAGATCTAACTGGACACATATGCATGTTGCTTTGTTGACTTGTATTGTTGATTTAAGCATTACAGTCTGTGTTTGTGTGTGTGTGTGTGGGGGGGGGGGGGGGGGGGGGGGGGTGTTGTTGGGGTTGGTTGTTTATGGGTCGTTGTCTCTATACTTGCCATGCTGAATGTGGCGAGTGTTTCAGGAATGTTCTGCTAGTCAATTCTAGTGCAGACCACTTAAAAGTTGGAGACTTTGGCCTAAGCAAGCTCATTAGAGTTCAAAATACTCATGATGTGTACAAAATGACTGGCGAGACTGGAAGCTGTGAGTATCTCTATTAGAAAATTACTTTAAATATAAAAGGAAATTTAATTATATTTGACTGATTTTTTCTTGTCTTTTCATGGAATAAAACAAAAGACCGATATATGGCCCCTGAAGTTTTCAAACACAGGAGATATGATAAGAAGGTTGATGTTTTCTCTTTCGCAATGATATTATATGAGGTAATTTTGTTTTCCCTAAGAACTGTAAACAAGATGCAAATACATCAAAGTGAGATATCATTGATGATGTTCTCAACTGGTGCAGATGCTTGAAGGTGACCCACCGATGTCACACTATGAACCTTACGAAGCAGCCAAATATGTGGCAGATGGACACAGGCCCATGTTTCGGGCAAAAGGTTACACACCTGAATTGAGAGAGTAAGTTGACTCGGGGTCCTTTGTTTACTAACAGTTCTATGGTTGCGAATCAACTCCAGTATGTTCAATTGGCAATTCTATTGGCACCCACAAGCACTAAAATAGAGGTTTCACAATTGGTTGCACTAAGTTACAAAATCACCTTTGTTGGATGATTTAGCTTAGGAACCAATGATAAGGTTTTGTTTGATAACCCAATTCAGTACTTAATTCTGAAGTGATTTAAGTTTTTATCTAATTAAGTGTGTTTGATAATGGAATTTGAATATTACTTTAAAAAGGTAAGCCCCACATAAATTAGAGTAAAATTTTAAGTGACAGTAATTAAAATAAAAAAAAAAAACCCCCAATTTTCTATTGCCACTAAAAATTTTCAACACAATTCAACTCTTAAAATCTCCAGTTTTATCAAACAGTGCCAAATTTATGAAAAGGAAGCTGATGAGCACTTACGTAACTACTTCTCAATGCAGTAAATCAAAGCCCATCATGCCTTTTTTTATTTACTAATATTGTTATCTCACATTCTTTTGGCCTTTCTTATTCCTTTTGGTACTTCTGGTTTGACCACCATCTTCCTTCCTTACCAATAGAATCATTGGTTTCCATTGTACGGTAATCATGTGACCTCACCGTTTCTCGTCTTATCTTTTATTAATGCTGCCTCTAACTTATCACAAATGCAATACATTTAAATATATCAAATTTTGTCTTGCCACTCATTCATATAACGACCAGTTTTCAAACTTCATTATGTTTGTGATGTCACTCTACAAGCACCTATCCACTGTCTTGGTTCAAATATATGGCTAATTACTATTTCAAGAAATTGCACAACTAGTTATTGAAATGAAAGTGGTTCCTTTGGATATTTCTTGGTCATCAACCTTCTGTTACTTCCTTTTATCTTACTAAATTTGAAATCCTTATATTTCCTTATACCAAATATATTTTATTGAATTTTAATATAACGAAAGAAATTTATATAGGTTGATAGATAAGATATGCGGGGATTTTTTGGTCGGTTTATGGCCAAATGGCCAATATTAAACATAGTGACTAATTATGAGCACAAACTTTTCAAAAGGTTAAAGATATGAAAGACAAAGAAGGTTATATATAGTCAATTCCAAGCAATTGTCATCAAGGCATTGTTGAGTTGAGTTTTGAGTTGTATATTCATATTCCTGATTTCATAAACCTTTTAATTTTGAAGCATCTCCAATGCCTCTGGCATATTAACTATAATTTTCTATCTCCAGTGCTTTCTTAACTATGCCTAATTATTTCATCAACAACAATGTTAAAGCCTAATGCATCGTTTGGCTTTCCTCCTAACTTAGATGCTTGCTATGATTCCATTATATATGTAATTGATCATTTTTTTTTTTCAAGTACTAATTTGCCGTATCTAAACTTCCTCCCATCAACTATTTAGCAACTTTATCAGATGTTTTTATATTATATTGACATGCTGGAAACTTAACTAGCCAGGATCCAGGATGTCATTATAATTATATATGTTCTAGAACCTTGGGATACTGATTTTTACTGCATTGAACAAATTTAGGTTAACGGAGAAGTGCTGGGCTCCAGACATGAGCGATAGACCTTCTTTCTTGGAAATTCTCAAGAAGCTTGAAAAAATTAAGGAAATTCTACCATCAGATCATCACTGGCACATCTTTACTTCATGACATGAAAGCCAAGAGATGATCATTTATCAAGATGATAAATGTGCAATGTTTGTTTGTCCCGTTCTATCCATTTACCTTATTGTGCAGATGGGGCTGTGAATAGACTCAACTAGCTGAGTTTATTATAGTTATTGCTGTAACTGGTTTCTCGGATTCCATTATGATTCTTATCACAAACATAGTTGGCAATGTTTCTGAGATCCCATTTCTGTAGTCCAATTGTCATGTCTTGTTCCAAAAAATGCATTTCAAATGTCCTGCTCCATGCAAACTTTATAAAGTGTTCATCCTCTGTCCAGAGTTCTCTCCCTTCTTTTCCCCTCCTTTGTTTGTAATTTTTTGTGTTTCCAGACGGAAACTAATAATCCTGGACAAACGAAGATCCTTTGTTCCCTTTTTCTATTATTGTATCTTTACGCGAAGAGTGAAACTTGGTGTTTATTTTTTATTAATCAGTGAGAGAGCATTTGGGCTCTTAGATTGGCTTTTTCTGTAAATGCTGGATATTGGTTTTGCAAAAAATTGTATAATAGTCCAGAAATTTCGAACTTTATGTTATTTGATGTCTGCAAATTAAACAGTGGCCAAGTGTAAAACTCTTTTCCACTAGATATTTGCACTAGTTGCAATCTTGGTGATATTTTTCATGGTCTGATAACAATGGTGCCTACCCAACATTGTTCGGCCCTTCCTAATATAGCCGGAAATCTCCAATCAAGGTAAGGTAGGATTTGGTTCCGTGGTAAGGCTACTTCAGAGATTGGACTACTTGGTTTGAGCTTCAAGGATCAAGGGATCTCTCTCGGCTGCTGCTGCTTCTTCTCTCTCCCTCTCCCCCTCCCTGAAAGGTATGAAATCTGTTGAAGGCAACAAGATTTGAAAGGAGTATATCTTAAACTGTAGGGTAATATTACCAGGTACACTCTTTGGAAATTGAAGTACAAGGAGAAGGTCAGAGACTAAGAGTACTAGACACCCAATCATGCAACACATACAGGATTGGTTTCAACCCGACAAATTTTGAAGGGTCATTTTCTTGGGAACCAGGTGTGTTTTTTTTTTTGGGAATTTGCAATCATTCAATTGATTTGAATTTTGACAACTGGCCTCTTAGAGCCGAGATGAAGCTTGGATTGGGGGTCTTCAATCATTAATTGTCGTCATCATTTTTGCCTTGATCCAAATCAAATGCAGTCTTGAACCATTTATAGATTGTTGAGAATGCAGAATTGCGACTCTATTTATTATTGTTAATTGTAATTGGCTTGCTTTAGGATGTTAGGAAGTAAAAAAATCGATTATGTCGTCTCTGTTAGTCGCTATTATGTGCAGGATTAGGAACCTCTCTATTAAGGATTTAAGGGTGGGCTGCTGTTCGGTTTTTGGGTACTCGAGGAGCACTGAATTTTCATTATTATATATTTATATATTTATTATTATTTTGAAGGGTTAGCTTTTTCCATGCAAAACAAGTTCACGGAGAGATCACTCTTTCACTTTCTAGTTTAGGTGAGATTTAGGGGAGAAAAAAAAAAAAAAAAATCTAATAAACATGCAAAGTGTTAAAGGGCTAAATGACTCACATGATTTGCACATGTGACATATTACTTGGTAGTTAAGTAAATATATATCAATTAATATTATTTATTTTTGGTCAACTTATAATTACCTTTTTAGTAATTATTTATTGGAGAAGTGTTTTTCTTTCTTATTCCTTATTTTGATGGAAAGTAGAATTATGTTACTAAAAGGAAAACTGGTCCTCTATCTGCCTTTATAAAAGTGCATATACTCCATCAATTATGTACGATTAATGATACAACACCATAATGTTTATGTGTACAAAAGGCTAAGAGAGAGAAACCAGTTTCCACCTTTGCCTGTTGATCAGAGTTGCACACCACAAATTTTTGCCTCTATAATGGCACTTGGGGCCATCAAGTCTCAGCCAACACACAACACAATACACACAATATTGAAATGTAAAGAAGGCACACACAGTTTACAGGGACAAGCCCCAACCTTTGCTTATATTAAACATATTACAAAAGACACCAAACTTGTATAAAGAACCAAGGCTCAACACTCACTGTGTCTCTACCCTCAAACCATGCCCCTTGCATCCCAATATATAGGACCCTCAAGAAAATTGCCCATAAATGGCTGTATGTATCTACATATAGATACACACAGTTAAGGTTGACATGCCCAACTTTCTAGGCAACTGCCCACAATCTCATCCCACTTAAGGTTGACATGCCCAACCTTCTAAGCAACTGCCCCACAATCTGATCCTACTAAGTCTAATAGTTTCTTCCCTCAACTGCTTGTTTATCTGTGACATACTCAGTTGGACAACCCCCAACTGTTAGGAACTGCCCTGAACCGCTATAAGACATACAACATATCTATATATCTTATCATAATTGAATATAAGCCATAAGACATATATGAAACAACTGAACATGAGTCACTCAGCATATCTCAACTGTTCCCCCATGTCTCTTCTTGATTGGATCATTCCTTGATAAACACACCTGCTGCCCACCAAGTAATATGTGGGTGTCATGGCCTTAGCCATGGTTCACGAGTCATCTTGAGTCAACTCACAAGTTCGAACCCAAATATAGATGTCTCTGAGTGCACGACGTGCCAACCCATGCACGCTCGTGTGGACATCCGAGTGTGAACCCGGATGCACGCCCCTAAGCGCGCTGCTGCATGCCGGTGCGCACGCTGGTGCTCATCAACTCGCGTCATGCTTGAACGTTCGTGTGCACGTGGCTGCACACCCATGTGCACACCGTGCTAGACGCCTACCTGCGCGCCCATTAAGTCCTTCATTAGTTTTGATGCTCCCTTCTTGTGCCCTCTTGTGCAACCATCTTGGAGTGGTGCAACACGTGCCCATGCACGTTGGCTAAGCCCTCTAAGTAAGCCATGCCATAGCCCAACTGATGTGCTCAACAGACCCCTCCCTAGTATAATCTTAAGGAAAATCAGCACTCTGACAAGAGTAAACATCACCTATGCTTGAGGAGTTATAAAGGCCTTTCAGGCCCTTCCTGACATCCAAATCGAGTGCCGTCTGCGCCAACCATCTTCTATGGACTCAAGGTACCTCCCATAAAGATCCCGAGCCAAAACTCCAAAGTTCACTTTTCGCCATATTTACGAAAATGCCACTGGGCACCCCCAGTGCACGCCGAGCATCCTCCTAAGCATCCTGTGTGTACGTTAAGCATCCTGTACACACTGACAACCCACTAAGCATCCTCGTGGCTGTCTAACCAGAGCCAAAGTGTTCCCAAGACATGGCATGACCCTGAATGCCTATGTCTTCCCTTTGACCAATATCAAGGGGCTAACAAACCACCCCTACTAGAAGAAGTCGACACCCTCGTCGACTTGTCCAAGTACTCCTTTACCTGCTTATCAAACTGCCACAATGTCATATCCCTTTCCTAACTCGCCTCTGCTTCACTGCATTCTTTCCACTGTACCAAGTAATCAATTCTGCGATTTTTCTTACTCTGACCTTGGGTCCGGTGAGACAAAATCTTCTCCACCTCCTTATTAAACTGCAACCGAATAACAGGTGGGGCTCTCTTAGCCTGCTGTCTTGATGTATCTACAGTGTCCTCATGAAAGGCTTGAGGAAACTCACATGAAAAATAGGATGGACCTTCAGTCTGTCAGGTAACTGTAATCTGTAAGCAACATTCCCCACTTTCTTCATAACTTCAAAGGGACCATCATACTTATGAACTAGCCCTCTGTGAACAATTTTGCTACTTATCTTTTTCCAAATCTGTGGAGTCAATTTCAATAGAACCTTGTCTCCCACTTGGAACTCTAATGGCCTTATCCCTTTAGCTACATACTTTTTCATCCTTCTAGCAGCCTTGGCAAGGCTGTCTTGCGCCTCTTCCACCATTTTTTGCATGGAACGAGCATACCTGTATGCTGCAGGGCATCTTCCACCAGTCCTCTGCCCTGCCACTTCCTGTAGTGTGCGAGGTTGTCGCCCTGTTGCCAACTCAAAGGGACTCATTCCTGCTGCTGAAGATCTGTGCAAATTATAAGAAAATTGTGCAGTGTCTAGCAACTCCAGCCAATTTTTCTGATTTGCAGTGACATAGTGCCTCAGGTACTCTTCTAATAACTAATTCATCCTTTCAGTTTGTCCGTCAGTTTGAGGATGGTTTGCTGTGGAGAACTTCAGTTCAGAACCAATCAAGCCAAATAGCACTGTCCAGAACCATCCCGTAAATCTGGTGTCACGATTACTAACAATATCCTCGGGTAAGCCAAAATATTTCACCACAAACTTATGAAATAAACCAGCAGCAACTTCCGCTGGGCATGCATGTGGTGCAACAATAAAAATTGTATACTTAGAGAATCTATTTACTACAACAAAAATAGATCTCATACCTTCCACCGTAGGAAAACCAGAAATGAAGTCCATTGAAACTGACTGCCATGGACGCTCTGGTATAGGCAAGGGTTGCAGTAGCCCTGCCTCCTCCTTCCTCCCATACTTGTCTTTTTGACAGACTAAGCAAGTTTTGACATATAACTTTATGTCATCCTCCATCTTGGGCCAGTAATATGATCTGGATATCAACGCCAGCATTCTATCCACCCATGGATGTCCAGCCCACTGAGGATCATGCATCTCCTGCATTAATTCTTGTCTCAAACCTCCAACAGGAACATATAATCTACCTCCTCTGGCATGTAGTAGATCATCTTCAATCCAGTACTTCCTGACTTCACCATTAGCAACCTATTGCTTAAGTTTCTGATAGGCATTGTCGGACAGGGATTGTTCTTTGATTCTGTCAAGGAAATCAGTATGCACTGTTCTAAGCGACGCCACATACTCCTGCACTTCTTTCCTACTCAAAGCATCCTTAAGCTTCCTGCTTTCAAAGGCACAAGGGTGTCCTTCTTGGACTAGGACCCCACCAATTGCTCTGTCAGAGGCACCAGTATGCACTTCAAATGGCAAACCAAAGTCAGGTAGCCTCAAGACCAGTTCCGTAGACACCGCTTGCTTAAGCATCTCAAAAGCTTTTTGGCACTCCCCAGACCAAACCCACTGTTTGTCCTTCTTCAGCAAGTCCGTTAAAGGACTGACCTTCTTGGAATACCCCTTCATAAAATTTCTGTAGTAGTTTGCCAACCCTAAAAAGATCTTAACTCTGTAACTTTAGTAGGTGCAGACCAATCAAGGATGGCTTTCACCTTTCTCTAATTTGCCCTTACTGATCCAATGCCCCAAAAACATCACTTATTAGCGATAAAAGTCACACTTCTCCTTTTTAACATATAACTGAAACCCCTTCAGTTTTGAGAAAACCAATCTCAAGTGTTTTAAGTGATCTTTCAATGACTCACTGTAGACTACAATGTCATCCAAATAAACAACAACAAAACGATCGATATAGTCATAAAACACATCATTCATTAAGTTGCAGAAGGTTGCTGGGGCATTAGTTAGCCCAAACAACATTACAAGAAATTCATAAGACCCATAACGAGTTACATTT